AATTTTATTTTCAGTCAAAAACAGAGCATTAGTGTCAAGAAACTTCCACAAAAATCTTACAACTTTTCGCTAGTATAAATCTTTTGTGCAAGTAATTTCCGCGTTTGGTTTGGAATTTATCTTGGATGATATTATTTAAAACTAATTTCAATGTTTTTACAATTTATCCATAGTTAACATATTTTGTATTTAGTTATTTCTGCGTCCGCTATAGAAATTATCTGTAGTAAAAACATTTGCTTTAATGTCGGCGTCCACTACAGAACTTACTCACGGTAAACACATTCTGTTTAAGTAATTTCAAATCTGCTACGAAACTTATTCTCTGTAAAAACATTTCTGTCGGTAAACACATTTCGTTTAAGTAATTTCTGCATCTGCTACGGAACTAATTCTCGGTAAACACATTTTGTAATAAGTAATTTCTGCATTGACTATGGAATTTATTGACGGTAAACACATTTTAAGTATTTCATGAGTCCGCTACGAAACTTTTTCTGATTAAACACATTTTGTTTAAGCGATTTCTCTGTCTGCTCCAGAACTTATCCTCGGTAAACACATTTTGTTTAAGTAATTCTGCATTCGCTACGTAACTTATTCTCGGAAAAAAACATTTTAAGTAATTTCTGCGTCCGCTACGGAACTTCTTCTCAATAAACACATTTTATTTAAGTAATTTCTGCATCCGCTACTGAACATATCCTCGGTAAACACATTTTGTTTAAGTAATTTCTGCATTCGCTCTGGAACTTATTCTCGGTAAACACATTTTGTTTAAGTAATTTCTGCATTCGCTCTGGAACTTATTCTCGGTAAACACATTTTGTTTAAGTAATTTCTGCATTCGCTACGGATTTTATTCTCGGTAAACACATTTTGTTTAAGTAATTTCTGCATTCGCTCTGGAACTTATTCTCGGTAAACACATTTTGTTTAAGTAATTTCTGCATTCGCTACGGATTTTATTCTCGGTAAACACATTTTGTTTAAGTAATTTCTGCATTCGCTACGGATTTAATTCTCGGTAAACACATTTTGTTTAAGTAATTTCTGCATTCGCTACGGATTTAATTCTCGGTAAACGCATTTTGTTTAAGTAATTTCTGCATTCGCTCTTCAACTTATTCTCGGTAAACGCATTTTGTTTAAGTAATTTCTGCATTCGCTCTTCAACTTATTCTCGGTAAAAGCATTTTGTTTAAGTAATTTCTGCATTCGCTCTGGAACTTATTCTCGGTAAACACATTTTGTTTAAGTAATTTCTGCATTCGCTCTGGAACTTATTCTCGGTAAACACATTTTGTTTAAGTAATTTCTGCATTCGCTCTGGAACTTATTCTCGGTAAACACATTTTGTTTAAGTAATTTCTGCATTCGCTACAGATTCAATTCTCGGTAAACACATTTTGTTTAAGTAATTTCTGCATTTGCTACAGATTTAATTCTCGGTAAACACATTTTGTTTAAGTAATTTCTGCATTCGCTCTGAAACTTATTCTCGGTAAAAGCATTTTGTTAAAGTAATTTCTGCATTCGCTACAGACTTTATTCTCAGTAAACACATTTTGTTTAAGTAATTTCAAATCTGCTTCGAAACTTATTCTCTGTAAAAACATTTCTCTCGGTAAACACAATTTGTTTAAGTAATTTCTGCATCTGCTATTGAACTAATTCTCGGTAAACACATTTTGTTTAAGAAATTTCTGCATTGGCTATGGAATTTATTGACGGTAAACACATTTTAAGTATTTCATTAGTCCGCTACCAAACTTTTTCTGATAAAACGCATTTTATTTAAGCGATTTCTCTGTCTGTTCCGGAACTTATTCTCGGTAAACACATTTTGTTTAAGTAATTTCTGCGTCCGCTACAGAACCTCTTCTCAATAAACGCATTTTGTTTAAGCGATTTCTTTGTCTGCTCCGGAACTTATTCTCGGTAAACACATTTTGTTTAAGTAATTTCTGCATCCGCATTGGAACTTATTCATGGTAAACACATTTTGTTTAAGCGATTTCTCTGTCTGCTCCGGAGCTTATCCTTGGTAAACACATTTCATATTGTAATTGCTGTGTCCGCTGCGGAACTTATCATAGGTCAACACATTTTGCTTAAGTACTTAAGTATATGCAGTAAGTAAAATTTTGTCCAGAATCTTTAACATTAAGATGTCATAACACATGGTTATATTATTGGTCAAATGGTAATAATGCAAACTGAAAGTCTAGAAAATGGGAATCTTTTCCAATTTGGGAGATGTTGAAGATCTGTTAGGGAAGAATAATGTGTATAAATGGTATTTATGAAGGAAATGGAAAAACAACAGGTATTATTTATTTTCTTGGTTTTGTCTTGTTTCTTTACAGTAATTTAAAATATCTTTTCTTTTTTGTTAAATTAATTTTTTTCTTAAAATGTTTCAAATTAGTAAATTAATTTTTAGGATGCATCCCACAACTGTTGATCGAGGCTCACTGGCGACCCCATTGAAGGATTCCGGTGCTGATATATCCGCAAAATGGGAATTCGTTATGGAAGGATTTCTCTTGAGACATTGCGCCGGCAGTGTTGATAGATTATGGTTTTTTCAGAGTCAAGAAAGATGGAAAGGGGATTCTTTTTTTTTTTTCTTCATTAGATCAACCGAGTGTCTGCCATCCAGAAGTTTTTTCCAGATTTATTTCCCTTTGTTTCTTTGGTAGAATAGCTGGAAGCTAGGCAAAACTCTCAGCTAGCAGGCGTTTTTCTCTAGGTATCATGCCCTGATATATCCCTGGTCTGTTGATCAAGACTACTATCGATGAAATCCGAGGAGTCTGGCAACTTTATATCCGCAAGGAGGAATCGTGTGGGAGTGATTGTCTTCAATTCTGAGTCCAGCAGCATTGTAGTATGACATTTGTTTCTGAGTTAAGAGAGATGGAAATCAGTGGGTCATAGTATGGAAGTGGCCTGAGAAGAACAACCTGCATTGACCGTTTCTGGAATATAGCTTTTGTTTGAGCAGATATTTGTTCAGAAATATAATATAACATGTCAATATTTTTACCTAGATTTGTTTTTTGGTGCTTTGAATTTTTGTTTCAGAATAAATACATCACTGGCGTACACAGTATGAATACCGTGAGTGTCGACCATTAAACAGCACTTGGAAGCAGCTTAATCGGTATGTATTGCAAAATCATTATTATTCGTGGGGCACTAATTTTCGTTGTTTTCGTGGATTATTAGGTATGAATTAAAGGTCCATCAAAATTTCATATTGTCTGCTGTAAGATTTTTTTGCATCACATTTACATATTACCTTTTTTGAAAAATACTGTCCACGAATTTAAGTAACAACAAAAATGTTCTTTGTGACAAAACCGTGACATATTGTGCAAGAAATTAAGTGATTTCACAGTAACAGTTGATATCAAAGAGACAAGAATTTTTTTCATACAGGTTATTTTTCACCTGTTGAATTTTATTTAATTATGACATTCTAAAAGTATCTGTTTTTATTAGTTATTTTGAGCCCTTAGACGGCTTTCGGCAACTGATTGTCAATTTCGACTGCCACCCAGTTGTTTAGCCTCAGTCAAACTGAGGCTGCAGGATTTTCATTTGTGCCATTTTTAGCATTCTTTAATGTTTCCATTTTCTTCTTTAACAGTGTTGTGTGACTTTAAATCTAATAAAATGATTAAAGATAAAATGAAATCAGAGCCTACTTATAACATTGAAGCTTACTGTCTTATGTAAAAGGGGCGTCCGTGGCTGAGTGGTTAAGGTTGTTGACTTTAAACCACTTGCCCCTCACCGCTGTGGGTTCGAATCCCGACAGGGACTTTGGATTCTTTCATGTGAGGAAGCTATCCAGCTAGCTTACCCAACGTCGGTGGTTCTACTCAGGTGCCCGTTCGTGCCTGAAATAATGCACAGAGGGGCACCTGAGGTCTTCCTCCACCAGTAAAGCTGGAACGTTGCGATATGACCTCTACTGAATCGATGTGACGTAAAACCCAAAACAAACAAAAACAAAATCTTATGTAAAACTTTGTTTTGAGAACAAAACATTACCAAAAATGAAAATTGTTAGAATAATGTTTAAGTGCAATATTTAACAGTTTTACAGAAATTCCTTTACAAGTAGATGAGCTATATTAATGTATAATCTAGTAGTTTAGTTTTCTAATTGTATTTTGTTTTATGTGTTTCAAGGCCTTGAGAGAGTTACCACCCTGCCTCAGACGGTGACGACGATGCAACCTACATTAAAAGACTTGAACCATTACAAATCTGTATTTCTTTCTGATCCAGGGAAGGTAAATGTTATTTATTTTTTTGTTTTATTAGGACTTAAAATTGTAACGGCAAAAAATTGTGTTTTTGTGTTACATATTACAAGTCATTCACTTAATAGTAATATACCTATAAAAATGTTTCAGATCTGACTTATAAGACAAAATGATTAATGGACATAAATGCATCTCTTATGTTGTAAGTTTAATATGAACCACCAGGCTATCTGTAAATTATCTAAGTATAATATAAATCTAACAGAACTTATAGTAGAAATTAGTAATCATTTAACCTCACCAATTAGTCAGAAATGTTGATTTTGCAAAATTTTAGCATCATCAAAATATCTATTACCTTAACCAAAGTTGGCAGAAAATTAAGTTATAAGTGTTGAAAATGTTCAGATATCGGTATATGGTTGTTGAGGGCACATGTGTGAATTAATCACTTATATAATTAAGGCTTAACATTTTTATTTTACATTGATTATGATGAAATTAAAATTGAACCACACTCCAGTCTGAGCTTCCTGAAACTGTCCAGTGTTCGGGGGTGTTATATGAACATGGTTGTGACACCAGTAGGGCTTGTACCCAGGATCACTTGGTTGTGAGGCAGACACCTTAACCATTAAGCTACTGTTCCCCTTACTAACTTAGAACCTAAGCAGTTCAGTATTTTGTAAAGATGTTTTTGTCTGTTTTCTTGTACTATGATAAATACCAGTTTAAAACTCATCTTGCACTGACATTTTTATTAAAGTTCCAGAGTGATGTAACCTAAAAATATATAGAGGATATTAAAGGGACTTCACTGAGGTTTTTTGACATGAAGGGACCGAAAATATTTTTTCAAGATTTTCGTATAACTAGATGTATGTCTAGACCAAAAACTCATGTACAAAATTTCAAATCATTCGCTCACAACATTTCCTAGAAATAATTAATTTTATTGTGAAAATTGGCCCAATAAATGAAAACCGTTTAAACGCTTTTCACTCAAATCTGCCAAAAATGGCATAAAAAGCGATTATCAATTTAATACTGTGTATATTTATATATCATTTATTTATTGGTTTCAAATTTAATTTTACCAGTTGTTTTTAGAAAAAATTTCAAAATTTATTATTTTAGGCTATTGGACCTCAGTGGAGTTCCTTTAAATGAGTGTAAGTTCAATACTGAATTTATTGCACGAGTTGAATAAAATTATATTATGCGAATATAATATTATTTATCACATACCCAAAATAAAGACCGTTTAAAGTGAAATAAGTGTCATTTTTCATTGACGCGCCTATAGTATAACGCTAACATTTAGCGTGTCTTTACACTTTGTTTGTATAACGCTCATGATGTCACATCAAAATATATGCACAGCCGTGCAATACCATATTTACGGAGTCGCAAAATTGGCACGGGTGTATGATAAAAAAAACAATTTGATTATAACCTCTATGAAATTTGTGTAGCAAATTTTATGCCATGTCTAACTATAAGTCCTGTAACATCATGTAAAAACGTTTCTGCTCAGATTTATATACAAACCTGTAATGACGACTGATAATTAACTTATTTTGTAACTTTTCTTATGTATGCAGTAGGTCTAAGACAAGGGGAGGTAATTTCACCTCTGATGTTTTCATTATTTGTTGAAGACCTAGAATTATATCTTCAAAATGATATCAATGTAGGTTTACAAATTGATGATATAGTTATATTGTTGTTGTTATTTGCTGACGATATGGCAATACTAGGTAAAACACCAGAAGATCTCCAGACAAGTTTAGATAATCTATATAATTACTGCAACTGTCGGGGACTAGAAGTTAATACGTTAAAAACTAAGGTTATGGATTTTAGGAAAAGAGGTAGGGTACGTGCAAATGAAACATGATACTACAATGGGCAACAATTAGAAACAGTTGATAATTTTAAATACCTGGGTACTATTTTCAATTATACAGGCAACTTTGCTTTAAACCAGGAACACTTAATTGGCAAAGGCCTTAAGGCATTAAATGTTTTACTATATAATTGTAAAAAATATGATATAAAACCTAAACTCAAATGCCAACTGTTCGATTCATTTGTTGGTTCTATCTTAAATTACTCTGCTGAAGTATGGGGACATTCTAAATCTAAAGAAATTGAACGTATTCACCTTAAATTTTGCAAAAATGTTCTAAATGTCAGAACAAGTACATGTAATGCAGGGGTTTATGGTGAATTAGGAAGATGGCCATTATATATTGCTCGTTTTGTTAAAGTAATCAAGTTTTGGTGTAAAACAATCCAAACTGATAATGTAATTATGAAAAAAGTTTATGAACAAAGTGTTATTGATTGTGAACATGGATATAATAACTGGGTCTCAAGTATTAAACGATTATTGTATACGTTTGGCTTTGCGGATTGTTTTATAAATTGTGATAATGTTGATGGTAAATTATTTCCTAGAATATTTAAACAAAGACTTAATTGATAATTATGTACAAGATTGGCATGGTAATATTGAAAATAATAATGTTTTAGATCTATATAAAAATTGCAAAACTAATTTATCGTATGAAATTTACCTCGACCTTTTACCACGTAGTTTAAGAATGTATATTTCCAAAATAAGATTATCAGCCCATTCTCTCAGAATACAAACTGGTAGATATAGTAGACATAGATTACCACGAAACGAGAGATATTGTCAGTGCTGTAATACCCTTGATATCGAAGATGAATATCATTTTGTTCTGGTTTGTCCTTGTTATAATAATATTCGTAAGACATATATAAAAAAATATTTTTATGTTAGACCATCGATGTTCAAATTTATTCAGTTATTGCAAACTTCAAACAAGCTTTTATTGATGAATTTAGCAAGATACATTAAAGAAAGTTTGGCATTCAGAAATACTCTCTTAAATATTTGATTTTTAGCTCGACTTTTCTATGAAAAGGGGAGCTATCCTACTCGCCCCGGCGTCGGCGTCACACCTTGGTTAAGTTTTTCGTACCACCCCACTTTATTTCAGAAGTATTACAAGTATGGCTTTGAAACTTACCATACTTGTTCACCATCATAACCTCCATCTACAGACAAGAGTACATAACTCTGTCAAGGTTTTTGACAGAATTATGGCCCTTTTTTGACTTAGAAAGTGTATTGAGCTTGGTTAAGTTTTTTGTACCACCTCACTTTATTTCAAAACCATTGGAGGTATTGCTTTGAAACTGACCATACTTGTTTACCATCACGACCTTCATCAACAGACAAGAGGACATAACTCTGTCAAGGTTTTTGACAGAATTATGCCCCTTTTTGACTTAGAAAATACATTGAATATGGGTAAAATCCACTTATTGCCTTAACCCTTTGAGATATTGCTTTGAAACTTTTAATGCTATTTCACATCATTACCCCCATCTGTACGCAAGAGAAGGTAACTCTGTCAAGGATTTGTTTTAAAAATTAAGGCCTTTTATCGACTTAGAATCTTGGTTAAGTTTTTAGTACCAGTCCACTTTTTGACTGAACTGTTTGAGATATTAATTTGAAAGTTGGAATACTTGTTTACAATCATGATTCCCAAACATGTCCAGGAGAAGGTAATTCTGTCAAAGATTTTATTTGAATTATGGCCCTTAACTGTCAATGTTTTGTATTATAGGCAAGCACTAAAAAACTTAAAAAATCTAAAAAAATTCATTCCTATCCACTTGTTCACTTTACCATAAATTATGTCATATAAACATTGCTGTAATATTCAAGGGTATCAAACAACTAGTTCACTTTAAAAATACAGAGATTCTTGTATTGCCTTTTACTGCAAAAACTTTTTTTATTGGCAAGCAATAAAAAAGTCGAGCGCGCTGTCTTACGGACAGCTCTTGTTTAACATCCTCTTGGAAAATAATTTTTTTTTTTACAATTCTCATATATTATAACATCATGTTTGTTTGTGTAATCATGCATTGTTCTTAAATAATAAAGGAATTTTCTCTTATTTGATACATTATCATATGATATTTGTGTGTTAACATGTATAACTTTTAATGATACTGTTCTCTATCTAGAAAGAAACTGCTCAATAAGTATTTAGTTTTGCTGCTGGTTAACATCTATCCTTCGCCTTTATCGGGAGGGAGGGAGTTTTACTTTCAGTGGGATGGTTAGACTCACTGGGTAAAATATGGTATACAATATCCTGTGAGGTTGCCAGTAGAATTTCTATTACTGCTATGATTGAGAAAATATTTACTTATTACTCATAACAATGTACATTCTATTATATATTCTAAGTATCATATTGTACTTTGTGTTACCATGATAACGTGACGTGATAATTGTTTTATTTATCTATATGCATGACGATGTACTATGTACAAGTCTAAATAAAACGTATGTATGTATGTTCTTATTTTAAAAATTTTATTTTTACAAGTTTCTTCTATCTTATTACAGATACCTCTTGCACAGAAAGTACAGATCTTGCTGTAGTATGATTAATGGAGGTGCCTTTCACCAACAAAAGGTATATATTATTCATATCTAAATAATTTATATTTAAACTATTTTTATAAGCTTGTCTGTTTTGAAGAAAAAGTTGAGCTATAATGACCACTGTGGCATTCTAAGCTTTGTCCAAAATCTAAATGTAGCCCATTATTTAAACAATTTTTAAAAGTTATCAACATGAATCTTTTAATACTTGCTTAATATAACAAGACAAGCGCCATAATTCTGAAAGCAATATTTTTTGGAGTTATTCCCCCTTTTTAACTAAAAATTATTAACAGACAAGCTTAATTTCCGCATTTAGTGCTCTTGTTTCAAAATTTGAATAACATTCAAGTCAGTTGAGTGCTATTTTGTTGAAAATTGTTGGAATGTCTTCATAAAAGTATTAGGAGATTAACTTTTGTTTTGACATACAAGCTGTTTGAAGCCAAATAATAGAAACCATGATGAGTGTTTATTGATAACACCAAAGTTTAATTGAATAATGTTTGTTTTTTACATTCATTTTAGCAATTATGTTATCCTTGTACTGGCATGCGAGCAGTTCCCGTACAGAAGCAGTACCCGTATTTTTCATTTAAACGCTTGATTTTTACATGCATTCTTCAAAAATTCATTTCAAATCAAGCAGATACATAAACGAGACAAAATATAAGTGTCAGTTCGGCAGTACGTATAAAAAGTCTCATTTTAAATCACTTTCACCTGTGTGTTGTCAAAACGTGACCTTGTTTTATCTGGGGGAATTCCGTCTTTGCGCGCATGCGCAAACATACTTACATGTGAGGCATGTTAAAGGGTTTTCCACTAATACCACCTGTTTACAGATAAGAAGGCAATGTGATGAAAACTTGTTTAATTATCAGAATTTTGACCAATATTACTATATAAAATGATTTTATGGCTTTGATGCGTAAAATATCATGCATAAAAGCATGCCATCGCATGTGAATGCGTTGGGGGTAACGGTACCGGGTAATAGATACACGCGTTTAGTCTACTTTCTATTTTCTGAATTACATCTATTTATCTCTTAGAAAATGGTCTGTTCAACAATTATAAATGAAAAATAGGTCCGATATAATAAAATTGTATAATTATAATGGGTTAAATTTTATGTACGGGAACTACTTCTCTTCATACAAAATAATGGATAATTTCGGTACCCCATATGAGGCCTCATAACTAAGGGTTATTCTATGTTTAGAACATAATGGAATTTCCATGATTTGTGTGACGAGCCGAATATTGATGTGTAACATTCAAATTTTGGTGAGTGAGTGTAATAAAAAATAATGATTAAGTAACTACGATTTTTGTACGGAAACTGCTCGCATGCCAGTAAAGTTGTTTGCATTAATTTAAAAATAGCACCATCTTAATTCTCCTATAGAATAGTCTTTCAATTTTCAGCTTGAGTATTGGAAGAAAAGGAAGAGATGATTGTACGTGCACATGCATTGGTGTCACATTTTGGGTAAGTTTTTGCAAATGATTAAAAGTATTAATGCCTATACAACAACTACATAAAAAGTAAACATGTACAAAATTGTTGTTACAGTGTGTATATTTTTGATATTACATTTTATAACATTTGCAAGTGATTTAAATATATCCATTGTTAATTAAGTAGAGATATACAGTACTGCCAAGTTATATATAGTTTATTTTTGCAAATAAGATTCAATTTTTGTGTCGCCTTGAAAAAGGCGACATATAGGGGTTACTTTTGTCAGCGTCGGTGTCAGCATCGGAGCATGTCCGGAGCATAAGGCAGTCATTATAAGTCGGAATGACTTCAAACTTGGTATGCATGCTTCTTATAATGAACGGAAGTGCAGTGCACAAGAACCGGTACTCTGCATTTCTTTTTTTTTTTTGGTTATTGCCCTTTGTTAATTTTCATACTTTATTTTTGTCCAGGCCATTTCTCCTAAAGTATAAATGCTATGGTCTTAAAACTTCCAAGGATGATAGATCTCAGTAAGAATAAGTGCAGTGTACAAGGACTCAGGTACACTGCACTTCTTATTTTTGAGTTATTACCCTTTATTAATTTTCGTACTTTATTTTTGTCCAGGCCATTTCTCAAAAATTATAAAAACTATGGACTATAGAAACTTCATAGGATGAGAGATCTAAGTAATATTGATAAGAAGTGCAGTGCACAGAAACTGCTGCTTTGCACTTCTTATTTTTTGAGTTATTGCCCTTTGTTAATTTTCATATTTCATTTTTGTCCTGGCCATTTCTTCTAAACTATATTGTTCACAAGGCGACACATCTGACTCGCAGAGTTCTAGTTTAGTGTTTTCACTGGTGCTAAAACTGTCAGCTCAAATAAGTAAGATGTTTTCAAATATCACTCTGACATCTTTATAAACAAGTTGCATGCTTGTTATGACATTATTCATGCACTATGAACAAGTTGTAATCTGTACTCTTATATATTTGAAAAATTATGTCTAAATTTAATATGGAAAAAAAATCAAAATTGAAAATGAATCAAACACTGGCTTTTGTCACGGAATATCTTGGGCACTCTCAGATAACTCATAGTTTTGCAGAAGCCCGACAGAGCCTTAGTGTTACAGTGTTATCAGTTGCATTTCTTATATTAATAGTATTAGTATAGTAGTATATTAGTATTGCTTGACCAAAATTTGTACTTGCCAATTGTGCAAGTTGATACTAAAATTATTATATTTTTATTTTCTTACAGGAAGACTCTAGTTTCACACCTAGTGGATTAATAATTACTTATGTGAACAGACTATTATATTTGCTTTGAGGGAATGCACCAATTATGATGACAGTGTTCATTTACAAACACTAAAGTTATGGTTTTTACAAGTGGACGTCGCATACTATATAATTTTACTTATGGAAATGAACTTTTAGAATTTGTAGACAACTAGAAGTATCTTTTCGGTAGAAGTGATTCCTTTTTCAAAGCAAAATCATCTTTTGTTAAACAGGGATCCATTTAAAGCTATGTATAGCCTTATAAAAAATGTAAAAAGTTAGAATTGCCAATTGACATGCAAATAGATTTATTTAACAAAATTGTAAAAACCTGTCCTACTGTACTGATGTGAGTAATATTATGGATTGGTAATATTGATTGTATTGAAAGAGTACAGCTTAAATTTTTAAACTATATTCTAGGTTTAAAGTCAAGTACACCAAATTGTATGATGTATGGTGAAACTGGTGTTTAACCACTATCTATTTGACATTAAATGTAGAATTATATCGTATTGATCTGACTTAGTCATACCAGGACTTAACAGATTTCCGTGTTTGTTATATTTTGTAAAATAACATTAACAACTCCCGGACTGTATCTAGATTAAGATTTCAGTGCATGTAATTTGTATGAATGTGGACAATATTTTGGAATTAGCATGAATGGTTAACAATGTCAGTCACACAAAAATTATCAGATTTATTTTTAAATATTAAGTGGTATTCTGGTATTGACAATTCTAGTAAATGCACAAATTATAGATTATTTAAACATACATTAATTGTAATTTTTGTTTTGAAACATTATCTTGTTAAAACTCTATCAAAATTATACAGGTGTGTCTGTACATTGTGTCATAGATCCATTGGTGATGAATTCTATTATAGTTTTGAGTGTGTTTTGATATCGGCAGGAAACGTTTTTTGAAACCGAAACATAATATACATTCTATTGATATACATATAAACACTGATGTTAACCTTCCAGATTACAAAAAACTTTGTTTATTTATTAAAGAAATTATATTAAGATTCAAATAAGCCAAAAATTGTATAAATTTGTGCACTTTATTATTCCCAATTTAGGTTTTGTAAGATATGATCTCCATAAAAACCGTATTGCAATCTCACACAAGTTATTTTTGGTGTCCATCTTGTAGCTTATTATGATTCATATGTTTTTACTGTATTTTTGTTTCTTGATGTTGTTATTTCCTTAGTTTTTCTATATTGATTAAAGGGGCTCCACTGAGGTTTTTTAATATAATTGGACTGAAAATATTTTTTCTAGATAAATGTACTATTTGATGTAGGTGTAAACCACTAATCTTTGTGCAAAATTTCAGATCAATCGCGCACTTCGTTTTTCCAGAATTATTATTCTTATTGTAAAAAAGGACCCAAAATGAAAAGCGTTTAAACACACAAATCGGGCTAAGAAAAGCATAAACATACGATTTTTAATTTATTTCAAATTATATTCCCTAACTATCTTTGCATATATATTTCTGTTTAACGTGCCCCAGCTCATTTATGTTAGAAATCCAAATGTTATGTTTTTAGGCTTTTAAACCTCAGTGGAGTCCCTTTAATACTGACAATACTTATGTTAAAAATCTATATATTGTGTTATATTGATACTGTTTGATTCTGAAGCCTCATTTATTATATAATTGTATTATTACCTCATGTTGTCATGTTAACATGATCTGAGTGGAATAAAAATAATGAAATTTACATTTGTTGAAAAATGGAAAACAATATAATGTACAAGTCCTAGATTATGGTATTCTTTTTTTTCTGACACAGGGTGATAAATTGATATAATTTTCAATAGTGTTATTTAGAAGTTAAACTTACCAATATCTCTTCAAATACAACTCTTTGATTCTTTTATTACTCCTATTTTGTTGTAAGGTTCTGAGGTATTGGCTTTTGAAAATATTAATATAATTCAGTCCTTTCAGCTTAAGTTTTGTAAATTTATATTGAAATTAAAACCATCTACACCTAATTGTATAGTTTTTGGTAAAGTTTTTAGAGTGAAACCAATTCTTCAATCTTGTACATGCTAGAACTAGATTGTTATGTTATTGGAGTAAGTTGATAAAATCTAAAGATAATAAGATATGTAATATTCTTTACAATACTGCTTTTAAATTACATATTAATGATATAGTTTATTCTCCTTGGATGTCATTTGTTTAAAGCTGTTTAGATGAACTAGGTATGTCTGAATACTTTATTACCCAAAAAGTAGATAATCTTGATCATTTCAAACAGACTATATGACCAGTTTGTATTGAATTGGAATAATACAGTTAATACAGTTTCTCTACTTGTTGTAGGGTTGGTAAGCGAACATCATGGATCCTGATCAGACTGCGCAGATGCGCAGGCTGCTCTGGATCCATGCTGGTCTCAAACCCATTATGTTGGTTTTGTCGTGACGCGGCTCATATATGTTTCACATTGTTTGATGAGTGTTTGTATGCACTAATATAATGGTCCATGAACCTTTCATCATGTTTTTGTTAATCTTTTTTAAATTCTTTGTAGTTTTAATCACATGCATCAAATATGCCACGATTAAATAAATAAACTCGTAGTTCTTGTTACCTTCCACTCTCACACTTTTTTGTCGAACTAATTAAAGGCGCTATTACAGTTATATATAAGTAAAGAATGAACAAACTTATGTAAAGTATAATATTAATTGTTACAATGAAAGACATGTATTGAATACATTTAATTAAAAAAATTTAGTTTATTTAATGATGAGCATTAAAATTTTTGAAACATTTACTATTGTAATTCTTAAAAATCGTTTGGAGGTAACAAAATGTAATTTGTTTTAGCTGTTGTCAATGGTGAGTTGTTGTCATTGTCAGCGGGCATCTGTCCGTTCAAACTTCTCTTTGAACAACATCTCCTTAACCACCTTGGCAATAATTTCAAAACTTCCTAGGAATAATTCTTTTAGGTGATCTTCTTTTAAAGTTGTTAAAAAAGTTAATTCTGTGCAGAAATCTAGTTGCCATGGCAACTGAAAGAAAAACTTTAAAAAACGCTTCTTACCCAAGCATAGGCGTAACTCTGGTTAAGATTTTATGTGCAACCTTTTTGTACGACAGCCCAGAACTTTTGCTTGAATTTTGACTGAATTATTTGACTTCAAAAGTTCTTGTTTCAGTTTTGCATTAGCATACTGATGGTATTCACTTGTCATAACTATGTTGTGTATTTTGATAAATCTTCCTGAAAACTTGTAGTTAAAATAGTGAAAAATAGCTTTTTTCTATATTACATAATACATTGTTGATTGACTGGACTATTTTATTATATGAGTAATTCTTACATATTTAATAATTATACTGATTAAATGATATTTATTTTTATTAAGAATAATTCTATACTTATTATTTAATTAAGATTATTTTTATGATATATTTTATAAGACGTCGATTACAATAAACGTAAACGTTTGTATTGAGAACTAAGTCCAGTTTAATGTTTCAAGGCTAAGCCTTGTAGTACTGACCAGAGTAGGTACAGTACCTAACCTAGCTAACATTGCCAAAGTCAGCTTATTTATACAATTCAGTATTCACTGCAACAATTTGATTGTTTGACAATAATATTGTATATACCATGCAAGAAGTATGAAAGATAGAAACTCATAACTTATAGATTAACTGTTAACTTAGATTACCGTAAATACCCAACCTATTACACAGGTATATACATGTTATCATATATAAAATTCTGTAGCTGTCCAAGAATCATAACTTGTGTATGATTTAAAGCAGCACGCCTCCAGATTCATGCTAATTTTCATGAAAATTTTGAAAATGTACATGTATTTGAATGGTAACCAAAAGGAAGCAATTGACACGTTATCAAATGGCACTTACAAACCACGTAAATTACCAAAAGTGGTCAAAATATGCATAAATAGCCTTTACTGTGTTAGTAACGCAGAAGAAATATAGTTGTAAATACTGAAAAATCAGTCGTTAGTGGCACATAATATGTAAAATGTTACTTGAATCTTGAAACTTTGAATTTTTCCTTATATCTTAGTACATTCTTCTCAAGTTTGATTTTATTGAAATATTTTTTCTCACCTGGAGGCATGTAGCTTTAAGCTTTTGTGGGCTTTATTATTCTTAATTTAGGTTTTGTAAGATATGATCTCCATAAAAACCGTATAGCAATCTCACACAAGTTATTTTTGGTGTCCATCTTGTAGCTTATTATGATTCATGTGTTTTTTCTGTATTTTTGCTTCTTAATGTTGTTGTTATTTCCTTAGTTTTTCTATATTGATTAAAGGGGCTCCACTGAGTTTTTTTTGACATGATGGGACTGAAAATATTTTTTCCAGATAAATGTACCATTTTATGTAGGTTTAGACCACTAATCTTTGTGCAAAATTTCAGATCAATCGCGCACTTCGTTTTTCCAGAATAATTATTCAAATTGTAAAAAAATGACCCAAATTGAAAAGCGTTTAAACACTTTTCACTCAAATCAGGCTTTAAAGGGCATAAAAATACGATTTTCAATTTATTTTCAAAGTATATTTCTTAATTATCTTTACATATATATCTGTTTAAAGTGCCCCACCTCATTTATTGTTATGTTTTTAGGCTTTTAAACCTCAGTAGAGTCCCTTTAAAAAAAGGATTTTGTTTACTTTATATTACAGAAAGTTTAGTTCAGATGTTTTCATTTTTCTTTTCCTTTATATATTTGGTAATGCTTTTTTGAATTTTGTTGTTGTTGTTTTTTAATATTTATATAAAGTGTTGATTGAAAAACTTCTTCGTTTGTGTTTTTATTTTACCGTTTGTAACTAGAAGCAGTTGACAACTTTCGTCTTTTGTCTGACTGAAATATTAACTTATCTCTATGTAGGTCAGTGTTTCTTAACAAACCATTGAAGAATAAATTGCTACATTATAAGATAGCTAGGCTATTACTAAAACACATAATACCATTGCTTATCTCGGCATAACAGTCCCGTCATAATTACAGTCTGTGTACTGTTAACAGGCTGACCTAAACTTTAAAGGAACTCCACTGAGGTCCAATAGCCTAAAATAATACATTTTGGAATTCTTTCTTAAATCAACTGGTACATTCAAACTTGAAACCAATCAATAGATGATATATAAATATACACGGTATGAAATTGATAATCGCATTTTATACCTTTTTTGGCCGATTTGAGTGAAAAGCGTTTAAACGGTTTTCATTTATTGGGCCAATTTGCACAATAAAATTGATTATTTCTGTGAAATGGAGTCAGCAAATGATCTAAAATTTTGTACATGAGTTATTGGTCTAGGCATACATCTATCACGTCGAAAAAACCTCAGTGAAGTCCCTTTAATCTGAATATCCCAAAAATTGGTGGACAGTTACATAACTGGATTCTGGAAAAGTGCATTAGAGAATTTCAGCAGGTTATTGCATAATTATATGAAAGTAAAAAAGAAAATGCCAGCGCAAACTTGTTAAAACCACAACACCTCATTCTACAATCAATGACAGGAAGTTTTCAATATATAAAGATGAGTTTAAACAACGAATGCATGCTCTTGAAACAACAAAAAATATATAAAAAAGAAATAAAATTGACAGTTATGTAGAAAGTTCGTTTGCTTTAAGAAGCAGCAGTGTGTATGGGAGCATAAGGCCTGTGAATCATTGCAGTATAAAATAAAGGAGAGACATTCTTAAATTTTGGGATATGTCGCCTAACCTTCCAGTCTCGGGTAATATGGCCTAGATCATGACTAGTTGACATATGTCCAGAAAATAACAGCAAATTATGCGTGGTCAAGGTCAACATTAAACCACTTGCCCCTCACATCTTTGGGCTAAATTACCCACATAACTAATGGAACATCTGTGGTTCTACTCAGGTCCCATTTTTGCCTGAAATAATGCACGGAAGGGCACATGAGGTCTTCCTCCATCAGTAAAGCTGAAAAATTGCCATATTACCTAAAATGTATTACTGCAACGTATATAACTTGTGCAACACTCTAGCTCTCTATGAGATGAATACAATTGAGCCGCGTCACGACAAAACCAACTTGATGGGTTTGCGACCAGCATGGATCCAGTCCGCGCAGTCTGATCAGGATCCATGCTGTTCTAGAGAGAGAATAGTACCATACATATGAACTTTTTTCGACGATCAAGTGGGAGATTTTTCTTCAAAAAGAGGGAGATTGATAAAACAAAGGAATCTGATATCAAAAATAGGGAGATTTCTTTAATTTGTTAAAATATCCCTTATTTTTTAAAAAAAATCTTTGAAAATATGGCTGCAGAAGGTCGGAGTCTCCTGCTAAAAGTGGGAGAGTTCACATGTATGTAGTACTTACATGGGGAACAAATATTTTACAGTTATTTGACAGGTTCCGGCGTATTGACCAGTTCCGAAGAATCAAGCGAGCCATTCAAGTAAACGACAATAAATAAAGAAAATGAAATGTTCACTGGTTTTGATGTATATTGACATTCACAAATAAATAAAATGTCAAAAGAGCTTTATTCATGTTTATTATTGATGTTAAAAAAACAAAAAGAAATGTTTTTATTGCAATAATTGCACACCCAAAATTTAGAACTAGAAATTGTTGATGACTATGGCTTAATGCAGTAAAATTTTCATTTTAATTTACAACTCCATGTAGTAAATTCATTATGCTTTTCAAAATAGAAATTCTGCACAACCAGAAATAGAATCGTTAATTGAAATTATCAATTAACACCAACTTGAACTAAATTGAAAAAAATATTAATGATCAATGAAATCATAAGCCTTGATGTTTACATTTTGCACATGAAGTATTGGTTCGAAGCCTTCATCACAACATAGTTTGACAAGATCATTATTTATCACCATATTTCTACTGCGTTACTAACGCAATAAGGGCTAATTTTGCTTATTTTGACCTCTTTTTGGTAATTTATGTGGATTGCAAGAGCTGTTTGCAATGTGTTAATTATTTCTTTGTTCACTTCACAATATTTTACATTTAAATACATTTTTTAAATTTTCCTTGATAATTAGCGTGAATCTGGAAACATGCTGCTTTAAGCAAAGACAGGACATTTTAGGTAATTACATAAAGCTGCATTTTTAACCCTAATTACATTAAAGTCTGCTTCAAAAATATACCTAACATGTAAGTCATTTATATCTTAAATATGTTAATACATTAAGCCACATTAGGTACTATTAATTACTATATACCGCGAAATATCAAAAACGCTTTGATTTTGTACCTGAACAGCCCACCACTGTCGATTGTGAACAAAAATGGCTGGTCTGTTGAATGACATAATATTGTATATTGAGTTTACACTAAAACTGATGCTCAACGCAACTCAACTCAAATAAGTTTATTGCGTTAATTTGTTTGTTTGTTGGGTTTTACGTCACATCGACACAGTACGTATAGGTCATATCGCGACGTTCCAGCTTTACTGGTGGAGAAAGACCTCAGGTGCCCTTCCGTGCATTATTTCAGGCACGAACGGGCACCTGAGTAGAACCACCGACGCTCCGTAAGCTAGCTGGATAGCTTCCTCACATGAATGAATCCAAAGTCCCTTTCGGGATTCGAACCCGCGTTAGTAACGCAGTAGAAATATGGTGATAAATACCGCAAAACAGCCCTTAATCGCCGTGAGGGGCAAGTGGTTTGAAGTCAACGACCTTAACCACTCGACCACGGACGCCCCACTTATTGCGTTAAACATACAATATATGTTTGTGATGTGAATGAGCTCTGTCTATGTTTGGTAGGTAATAACACCAATAGGAACTGTGATCATTGTAAATCTTCACTCCTGGGGGAGGACGATGGATATTGATATTTACTTATCTGCCAAAGATTTCCACAACACTGACGGACTTTGTGGACATTTTGATGGAGATAGAAATAATGACTTTAGGCACAGAGATGGCTCCCAGTCGTCCCCATCCAATGCCTATTATGGTTAAACTGACTTTATAAAAAGTTGGAGGTATACAGAAATAATTCAGTTGCTTTTTGTTAATGTTTAAAACTTGTCTCAATTAAATTTTTCCCCAAATGTAAAAAGATCGAAAGCACAAAATGTTTTGACAAGTTTATTCTTTATTGAAAGATGTAATGTTCTGAATATTTTTGCTTCATTTTTAACATACATGTATATATCTATTTTACATTAATTTATATATCTATTTTACATTAAATTATATTTCTATTTTAATTCATATATCTATTCTACATGAATGTACATACCTATTATACATTAGTTTATATATTTATCCTACATTTATTTATATATCTATTCTACGTTGATTTATATTAGAAATGTTAGTATGTCTGAAGTATCACTTTATAAAAATAGATTACTGGATGAGGAAAACTTCTTACATAATGACAGCCGTGTCTTAGAGAAATGGAATGTTAACAATGGAGCATCCATGGATGAAGCTTGTTCGAACGGTAACTCCATATCTAAGAATAAATGTCAATTTGGCGGAGAGAAGAGAAAACGGCGAGATGTCGCCACAGGATTTGGAAAAAAAATAAAGTCAAGTATTAATAACATGAGAGAAAAGGTAGGTGTTAATGTAAATTCAATGCTAAAGTTGTAAGTTTATATGATTACAATGGTTATAATATACATATAGGCATAATGAGACAATTACTAAATAACTGCGGATGTGTTATCTATTCATGCTTTGTAAATGTTTAAGAAATTTTGGCTTTCTGGCGTTGTGAGCGTTTTTTTTTCTGCCATTCACTTTCTTTAAATAATTAAAAACGTGATTAATCTAGATTAACTTATAATTTTATACAACTGATTCATTGGGAAAAATACTGATTATTAAACAATGAAATTAATAGTTTTATCACCACGTCATAACAGTTTTCAAATGGAAACAAAAAACCTTTACATTGTAATATTTAGTAAAATGAAAATCTAATACAAATTTTCAATTTTATCAAAAAGAGAAGTACTGGAGGCGACATTTCGGACGATAAAGCTCGTGAACTGTGTAACACCTCTATAACTGGAGCCCCTTCCGTCAAAGAATTCTCGGACCAGCTTGGAGATGAAGACACAAACATTGTATTTGACCAATGCGTGTATGACATTATTGTAAGTTTACTCGTATATAATAAAGTTTGATTTTTATATAGAAACATTAGAAGTTTATGTAACATTGTTTTACAGTACCAACAATTCCAAATGTCATCTCTGATACCTCGGGGCAACAGATTTCAGCGGTTTAAAATAAGGTATTATTATTTATAGAAGGCATTAGGTAAAACATTTGTAATATAGTTTGGGCATCAATCTATATCCATTTTCTACATAACTTAATTACTTAACATTATAGAATGGCAACAGTACATGTCGATGCTCTCAATAGTATAGCATCAACAGTGATCAGTCTAAGTCCTGATTTTGCTGCTAACAATTCTGAAACAGTAAAAGCGTTCCTGTCACAGACATGTACAAATAACTGTAGTGGACATGGAATATGCTCCGATTCAGGTCAATGTTTGTTTGTTGTTGTTTTATTTTTTGTTTGTTCTAAAATCTTGATTTGAATTTATAAGATTTGATTTTATAAACATTAATTTGTTTCAGCATATGGATTAAATATAAAATGATAGTATGTGTTATTAATATGTGTTCAATAACATTCCGATTGACTCGTTGTTGTAAGGTAACAATGTAAAAGTTACCCATGTCACTCACTTGAAAAGTGCTTATTAACAATCCTAGAATGGTATAACATCCGAAGTGGAGGGTGTTATTTCAGTTCAAGGGTTGCTAATATGCACTATTACCCTGACAGACATTATAATACCGGACCAACATAATAATTCCTCATGTAAACTGTTTTACTATAAATTCGAATGTGACGTCACATGGTGTTATAATGGATATGAATTGCAATATTTTCTAGGGGCGAGTAATTTACTTTAATAGACTTACGAAAGGGTAATGTTCTCTCTCCTTATAACAATCAATCGGAGTAATAAGGCACATAGCGATAAAAAATTACATTAAATTGTTTTTACGGAATAATAATAAGAGATAACATGTTTGCCAGAGTGTTATATCAGTTCTCGGGTTCTTATTATGCACTTTTAATCTGAGAGACATGTGTTATTTTTATACTGTGTTTTTATCTCATAATTACATGTATAAGATTTCAAGATTAACCTATTAAAATCAATTAAAAATGAAAATAATAAATGTTCGTACTAATCCAGGACTGTGCAGTTGTGAAGATGTTTTCCGTGGACCTATATGGTATAGATTTAAGAATTCCACCAATTATCTATGACATAAATGACGGTGGTTTATGTGATACAGCTGATGGAAATGAATGTGATTGTTTTGTTATACGAACTGATAACATATTTGATGGCTTCAAATACGAAATAACAACTTTTGAGGTACAAATGTATTTTACTTGTGTTACTTGTCATATAGAACATGTTTAGATTTTTGTGTTAATTTTTCCTTGGCATTACAATAAATCAAAAACACTAAAAATAATTGCCCTGCAGATATGTTTCCACATAATCGTGCCGCTTTTGTGACTTCGTTACATTTGGTATTGCAAAACCGTTCATATATTTTGACGTGGCGTCTTTTACGTTAAATAAACATAGTGTTCAGACGCGCAAAATGTTGGCGTTACACTAAAGGTTTGTCAATTAAAATGAGTCCTTTTCGCTATAAACAGTATTTATTTTGAGCATTTGATAATAGAACATTGTATTCTGAAAATTTCATTACTGAATTTTATCTGAAAATTTCATTACTGAATTTATAGAACGATATCGCATAATATAGTTTTATTTAACTCGTTCAGTAAAGTCAGTATAGAATCTACACTCATTTATTATCCTCTTTTTTCGACACACATGCTTCTGATTACCGTTTTTCTAATGATTTATTTGCAAACGTCACAATTTTTACTTTTTGTTCTTTGTTTTTGTTTGTTCCTTTCTTTGTTTTGTTTAATCTAGAAATTTGTGAAGTCTTTTTTTTTAATTTTAGATGTTATTCGATGGCACAAAAACACAGGTAGGTAAGTCTACTAATGCCGGAAAGTATGAAGATATATTTACCGGGGAGTGCTGCGTTCCTCACCAGCGTTCTAAACGTTCAACGGAGGATTCTCAACCTTCTGTACTTGTGTTTGACTTTGTTATAAGTAACGACGGAGAGAACTTCGGACAAAGCAAGTCCGTATATGTTTATGATTCCACGTGTTTGAATTACGTCACCGCTGGTGATGGGGAGATCGTAGCCATTAATCTTGAGGAAGGATACAAAAAAGATATTTCTAGTCACATTGGTTATAGATAAAAATCCAGATATGTCTTGTACTGTAAATTTGAAAATTACTGCTAAGCCGTTCTTACGGCGTTAAACCTTATGAATTCCCGATTTTATCTTCGTGAATTCACAATTTCAACTTCATGAATTTACGTTTTGAACTTCACGATTTCAATTTTATGAATTCACGTTTTGATCTTCACGATTTCAACTTCACGAATTCACGATTTCAACTTCATTGCTCAAGATTTCACTTCACAAAGTTGAGATGGTAACATTCAAAACGTGAATTCATTAAGTTAAAATCCTGACCAGAGGTCTTTCGTACGTCTTGTTGATCTCTGAATCATGCGTTATCAAACTATATAAATGCTAGGCTAACCCATGTTTAGATTTATATGAATTAAAAAAAACTCAGTGAATAAGAAAAGGAATATCATAATTATCAAACGTCAAAGAATCAGATCACGAAAATCAGTCCCTGTCAATGTAGTTTATTAAAGATATATTTATCGATTTCCCTTTCTATAAATATTTAAACACACGTAAGTTATCTTTTTTCTTATATATTGTTTATCCATGTAGGAAAATTTCTGTTACATCGGTGGATCTTGTATTGCGGGAGATGCCACCCTACAAACTTCATCGGACTGCTTTGTGTGCGACTCCCAGACAAACCCATACAGCTGGACGAAAGGTGCAATACTTTACTTGAAATTGACAGTGAAATATCCAGTTTTATTTTACACTTGACATTTAAAGTTACGGACTGTTATGGTGAATGTTATTAGATTAAATAAAGATTTTTTGTTCGCTTTAAAGCAGAATGCCTTCAGATGAGCGAAACTATTTCAATAAATCAAACTTGTGAAAAATGCACTAAGCTTTTAGACAAAGTAGAAAAATTCAAGATTCAAGTAATAATTTACATGTTATAAGTGTTTAATAGTGAATATTTTCATTATGTATAACTATATTACTATCGCAGTAAGGGTGTTTTGGGGCATATTTTTTCACCTCCTTTTGTAATAAACGTGGGTTGTGAGTGCCATTGTTAATGTGTAAAATGATTCCTTTTGGTTACAAATCAATAATATACATTTAATTTAATTTTCCTTTTTATATGAAAATAAGCATTAATCAGAAGGCGTGCTGTTTTAACTGATAGACTGTTTTCAAAATGATGACAAATTTCTACCTGTGGTATTTCTGTTGGTTTTCTTTTTAATTCTATAAGATTAAAAATAAATAGAATCTAGTTTAAACAAATTTTATTTGATTAAATGAGATTTTTTTTAAAAAAACGTTTTAACAAAATTTTAGCTTCCTGTAATGATGACGACATCGGTTTATCGTCTGCTGCACTTATCGGCATCATAGTTGGTTCAGTCTTTGTTGGTATCATAGCAACCGTTGCCGTGGTGTATGTACGATGTTACAAAGTCACGAAGAACCGGCGGTAAGTATAAATTGTATATTTTTTTATACACTATAAATAGCAATTGATTTTATTTTTCTCACATGGACAGCCTCAAAAAATATGTCAAAGACGTATGTCGTGCTGTTGAATGTTGTGCTTCACATACAAGACCGACACTAACAAAGGAGACAAAAACGTATGTCAGTATGGATGTTTGCTGAATATTGAGCCACCTGCACATCCAAGCTCAACATAAAAAAATAGTTACAGCTTCACATTCCATCTCAACAGTGATAAATCGAATGTCGGACTGAACGTGGTGGCAGCTTTCCCATTCCATCTCAACAGTGATAAATCGAATGTCGAGCTTCATGTTTAATTTGAAACTTTGTGCCAACTTCATATACTTTAAAAAACGGGGGAAACAATTTTCAGAAAATTTTGTTTTCTTGCTGTCATAGCTTCAAATATTTCTTCTGAAAGTTATTGTTGTATTTACCGGAATATGTCTTTTCTAGGTATTTTTTTATGGAATTTTTATTCTTAAATTATCTTTTTCAAGACTAAGGAAATATGTGTTATAAGTTTTGTTGTCGGTCTCATATATTCATCCGCCGACTTTGATTAGTTCTGTTCGTTTGTTTATCTACTAAGTACTATATTTTCAAGCAAAAATCAAAAATTCATAATGAAATGGAATTGGAGCTGCTTTCTGTGCTTTATTTACTAACAAAACATAAAAATCAATTATTTAAACATGAGTATGATCGTTTTAATTTACATACATCTTGTTTATATTTGAAACAGAACTGTGTCTGTGGGTGATGTGAATTCAAGTCAGGCGTACTTATCAGCGGGCCCAGCTGGAGAAACATGGGGTGGTGACAAACATTAAAATATGAAAGAAAATGTTGCTGGTTATGTCCTACTTTCATGAATGGAATTTAAAATGCTGCTCTTTCTTAGTTTATGTCTGAATGTATGTAATAATTGTGTGCAGACACCTTTTTTAACTTACGCGTTTTGTTTTATAAACATTTTCACTATTTAGATTTGTAATATATTTGATCACAGATATTTTTCAAGTAAAAGTGACCAATGGTACATATTGCTGATTTCTTTTCAGTGATTAAGATTCTTGTTAAAACTTTCAAACTTTATTTGTTTCCCCTAGAAATAATTAAGCCTTTATAACGAAGCTGTTGTTTTAATGATTCCCGTGTTTAATGTTTCTTAAAGAAAAAATGAGTTCTTAACGCATCAAAAACGAAGTTAACCCTTAATAACGACTTGTTTTAATGATTCCCATTTTAATGTTTCCTATAGAAATGAATTGAGTGCCTTTGTATCAAAAATGACACCGGAATGCACCACTTACACGTTTGTTTTTCACATTCTGGAGCCGTATCCCCATAAATGTGAAGCTTATCCTCTCCCGTTCCTTCGTACGTGTAATGTTACATATTATAAACAATGTACTGCGCCAATATTTTTCTTAATGTATCAGTTTGGAATTAATAAACAGATCATGATCATGTAGTTGTTTATTTATTAATTTATTCATTTGTAAGCATCTGTTTAGAATATTTTACTCCTACTCTTGCCTTATATAATATCATGGCAATGTGTTAAACGTGATCCTTCTCGTGCCCAAAATAACTGCAATCTTTTAAATGTATTTCCTACTGTGCTTTATATAATTTACACGTTTTCTACTCGTGTCTGATATAATGCCCTCCATGTTTCATATTTGTTCCTGTTTTTTCTTACAACAAAAATGGCTGCTAATTTATGCTATGCCCAGGCGAAAATCAGTTTGATCGGTAACTATCCTCAACTAGGCTATAACCCGTTGACTAGTACCACACCAGACTGTAGGCTTACATCACTAATGTTCTTTCTTTAAATATGTGGCATACAAAAATGTAATAATGATATTACAAAAATAAAACGTCTCTCAGGGTAAAATGCATATTAGCAACCCGAAGAGTCCATGCTTATAAGAAAGACACGTGTTTTATTTATTATGCCGAACCAATATTTTAATGTAATTTTTCAACGCTATGTATTAAAACCTCATTGAATTTGGTCAGGGTAGGGAACTGGAAAACTACTCTTTCTTAACTCTATATAGATTACTCGCCCCTAAGGAATATTGCTTAACTTGATTGTGTGTTATTTATTTCGAAGATGATAGATCGAATTAACACCATGTCACATTAGGCTTTATAGTAAAAAGTTTACGTGATTTATAATATATGTTTTTGTTAAATTTTCGCATTAATCTCATATATCACAGAATACATATACAGTTCAGAACTATATGATGTAAACATGAAATACTCCTTTTGGGCATGTGTAAAGCAAATCCGACGAAAAAGGTTATTTCCAATTTCTAATAAAGTTTATTCGACTATGAATCATATCATTACGATCAGATTACAATGACTTCGACACTTAATACGGCCGTAACGACTTATAACTACGAGACTAGCTCCGAAAACTACGAATTCTACAGCTACGAGTAGGACTACAACAACAACTACGACTTCAAAAACTGCACCGGCAATTGAAGTCTGTAATGACTATTAAGGCCCCACCGGCTAAACTTTTAAACGGTTTCGTTTCGATTTTCATTCCTAAACGCTTACGATATTTTATACCGTTTAATCAAATTGACCATATTGTCTTACGAAATATCTTAATCATTGCCTGTAATCACGGCTTTTATCAATTCCAATTGGTTTATTCCAAAGTAAAAATGTAAAATAGGCGTTTACAACCCTCCACACAGCATCATCGTACAATAATTGCTTGTGACATAAAACATTTTTGGTAAAGTTGAGTTTCCTTTGATCTTTCAAAAGAGCGAAATGGGGATACAATGCAGAAAATGTGTACCGACACAATCGTGATGAGTCCTGGACATTATTTATTTGTACATGTATTAAAAATAGAAAGTATCTCATCATTTGACGACTCGAATACATGGTGTAGTATAGTACAAAAAAGTACCACTGTTTAAACGGCATCAATTCGGTTCTTAGCAATCCTGTAAACGTTTACAAAAATTGTAAACGTGGAAGCCTGAATGACTATAGTGTTTATCTACGACAACGAGGGCCTCGATCACACAAACGTCTTTAAAGACAACGCCAACAACTACCCTAACGACAGCTACCATGACTACACAGTTAAAGATTTAAAAACAAAGCCCGCAACTGCGACTTCTATGACTCTAACGCTTATGAGTATTCTAGACTTCTAGGATTATTAGTAGAGCGCTACAACTTAAAGATCGACAACATGTACAAAGACTTATAGACTACGATATTTTCTTTTACGATTAATACTACTACGAGTTTATGACTACTACTACTACTACTACAATAAACAAATATAATCTACGATGTAAGCTATAAACGATGTAACATAGCCCCCGTAGAAAGTTTTAAAATCACATTTTGCGGAATATGTATAGCATTAGGCTATTGTATCTACTGTAACGCTGAAATAGATTAAAAGCAGAATCCCTACAGTGCGCCCAAAACGTCAAAATTGAAAGTGTTGCAATATCGGTTTGATTGAGCCTGTTAATGGACGGTACTGGAATATGCAAGTTACCGTCCACACCCCCTAGCACCGACTTAAGCAGAATTCAACATTTAAACATGAAATGGTGAAATTTTGAATTTATAAACATCCGCAGATAGACGGCTGTTAGCATGAAACCTTCAATGTGACAATTCCGTGTCATTCCATGAAAAGCGGCGTATGGTCCCCAAGCAAAAGAATGCATGTGCCTTAAACGAGAAAACAAATGGGCGAGACTAAATAAAATGGAACTTTGAAAGGGGATCAGATGTTTTGGAGCCTGTACATCACAGGGTAGATAGACGTCAAATGAAAATTTAAAAGCAATCCAAATTTAACCAGGCCAATATCAAATTCAGCCAATCGAGATACAGCATTATGTCATGTGAAAACAATTTTCTTTACTTACTAAAACAATGCAGCAAAATCATTTTTATATTTGGACGGCAATTTGTGACACTCAATAGACGTTAAGCACGAATTCGAAACTTTAAACAACGCATTATTTGTTTGATTGATTCACTGAGTTTACGTCACACCGACCTCTTTAGATCATATGGCGATGTTCTAGCTTTACTGATGGAGAAAAAAACTCAGGTGCCATTCTGCGAATAATTTTAGACACTACCGGGTACCTGAGTAGTAGGTGCCCGTTCGTGCCGGAAGGGCACCTGAGGTCTTCCTCCACCATTAAAGCTGGAACGTCGCAAAATGACCTTTACAGCTTTACTGGTGGAGGAAGACCTCAGGTGCCCCTCCGTGCATTATTTCAGACACTAACGGGTACCTGAGTAGTACCATAGACGTTCCGTAATCTAGCTTGATAGCTTCCTCACATGAAAGAATTCAAAGTCCCTCTTGGCACTCGAACAAAAAGCGGCGAAGGACATGTGGTTTGAAATCAACGACCTTAACCATTCGGACGCCCGCTGAAATGCATTGTTACTGGATTTTTAAGTTTTTTTTATGCTATAAACCATTTTTAGAAAGGTAAATGGTGAAATATTGGCCACTTATTATCATAAGATGATATAATATGAAGATGTTTTATATGGCTCCTAAATTGTGGTAGTTAAAAAAAACATTTATTAAAAGCCGCGCCAAGCATAAACAGCCGTTATACAAATGTAGTAATTTTTGGATATTTTCGGCTTTTTCCATCATGCGTTAGTGCATTTTTTTTAATTTTCTTGTATTGTATACCTTTCTATACTTTATTCGACTCACATTTGCACGAAAAAGCTTAAACGTAACGGCTTTGAAAAAGCTTACGTCAACTAACGCCACAAATGTCAACGTTGATAACATCATTTCAAAACGTCGAAAAAGTATTTTATTTACTTACGTAAAGAGACAGTGTGGCGTAATATAATTGAATTTATCACATAAACCGCGGCACAGGAGTGTAAATAAGCTATTTAATAAATAAAATACAATATTAAACTAGTGTAATAACATTTTGACGTGACGTCATTTGCACTACATATAAACATAGCGTTAAAACGCGCTAATGTAGGCGTACACTATAGGCGCGACAATGAAAAAATGACAAATGATATTTTTAACAGTAAATAGTTCTTATTTAATATATATGCAATAAATATAATATCATTATTTATTAAATAAAAAATATATTGTTGTCGTGTAGATTCAATACTAAATTTATTTGATTTATTTTATTTATTTGAATAAAACATTTTAAAACAATATTTTGCTATAAGGTTCACTTAATATGATTTTATTCAACTCGTTCAATAAATTTAGTAAAAAAAAATACGAACACTCATTCAAAATTATCTATTTTTGTAATAATTAAATAAAACATTATCTGAAAAGAACATTAAAATGTTACATTTATGCTAATAGGTCACAAATTTCAGTTACTACGACAACGCTGTGATCGTAGAAGTACAACAGTAAATACTCAAAACCACCACTGTACAAAGAATAGTAAGTTTGCTTAAATATATCCTTGACACTTGAAACTATAGGAAATAGTGTACAGGAATTTGGATAACTAATCTTTGCCCATCGCTTGACGGGGGAACTGGGCAAAGAACATCTTGGAACGGGCGTCTCACAAGTGGTCTGACGTGACGGTACAAGTACGTCTGACGTTCCCGGCTTAATCCTGCAGGATGTATGACAGATGGAAGGTCATTTCTATCCATTTGTAGATAGTTTATCTTACAAATTACAAATCGTGTTTCATCAGTATCATCTGTAGCTACCTTCATGTATACTATACCGGGTTCGAGTGACGTGAAACGGAAGTGGTGATATTTTGAGATGTTCGGTACTTTTTTGAATCTGTCTGCAAGGAACATCTTCCAGCCTTTCCACATCCACTTACCATAAGTAACGGGAACATTACTGTGTGCTGACTTCTGCACTACATCCGTCACGTGTTGGAGAGTATTACAATTTGAACGCTGATACAACTTCTTTATCGTTCCAAATCCCGCATCGATCAAG